TTATTGTTACGTTTGGCTTTTAAACTGTCTTCTACCCTCCTGTGCAATATATTCTAATTCCTCTTTATTTATATCCAGTAATTTTTGAGATTGCCTTTATCATCTGATTGCTATCCCTTTCCCAGCCATGCAGGAGCAAATTTTGGCTTTCTTTGCTGGCTCACCTTTTAACTTCTCTTGTGCCTCTGCTGCTGTCTTTTTCACACTGAATGCTGATGAGGTACTATTTGGTCTGTCTTCAGCAGTCATTTTCTGGGTAATTTCTTTAAGCAGCAAACACTAATTCCTCCCACTCTTTAAAGTGCCATATGGGATCAGATTACCAGATTAAACATGAATCCATTTTTGGATAGCATTTCTGTCCCATGCTAATTCTATTAAAATTATTGACTATCTGGCCAAAAGGACTGCCTTCTAAAGACTTACATGAAGCTATTTTCAGGCTAGAACAAGAAGGGCAAAGGGCCATTTTTAAATGTTGTTTCTTTATCTCAAAGTTTGCACTTATGCAAACATATTGCCAAGTGGATTCCATTTGTTCATGTTAACAGGAACTGCTACAAATGCAAAAATATGTTTTTAGCAGTTATCTTCCTATGAAGCATTTCCAATCCCAGCTGACACATGCAATAATTTTGAAAGATCATGTGGGGGGCCTCAGCAAGAGAATGTGGCCCTAGAGATTATGATCATCATTCAGACAGTAAAGTTGCACACATTTTAGGAGCAGATGATAGTTTACAGGCTGTATTTGATAGCCCTGACATAGCTAGAAATTTGTTAAAAGAACTGGGATGAGGAACGTGTTTAAAGGAATAACACTGTTCTCCTGGATGAATATTTCTGATGCATTACTACGTAGTGGGTGGACTGGGCTTGATAATCAGGGAGGAGCAGCCTGGTAGTAACCGGGTACTTTGTGTTATTCTCTCTTGCTGGTTTTATATTTATTTGCTGAGGCTGTGAGTAATGCATGGCTCAAAGGCATGGTTTCTGTTCTAGAAAGGAAGAATGTACTATGTTTAGTCTGTGGCTGAAAGGTAACTGCTTGATTTCCATACCCAACCCATTGGCTCTCCTCTCCCCTGCTCAGTAAGTGTTATGGTGCAATGTATGGGAATTCCTTCACACTGGAGGCTTCTGAGGGACAGGGGACTACTCCATCAGCCAAAAATGGCATAAGCAAGATTTAAAATCATTAGCATGGCTTCTGCCATTATGCTCTCAGCAGATATTGTAAACTTGCAGGATTTGATTCATCATTTGCATTGGTGCAAAATTGGCCGTGACTGCCAAAAAACAATTGACTGTTCCTTCACAGCTGTTTTCTAATTACATTAGAATACTGTGGTGTCTAATGCAGCTGCTCAGCCATGGTGTGGACCTGCCTTCTCCCAGAGGGACCTTTCCAGAACAGCAACAATTGCTTTGAGATGAAATCTATAGCAGAGGTGGCTTGTACACAGGTAGCAGTGACACTTCAGTCATGGCCAATTCGCTTCTTTCCTGGGAAGCTATCCCACAGGACAGATGACTGCTGAGAAGTCAGAGTTTAGAAGAATAACACTAAAAACATCAAGTCATCTCACATCATGCTGGCACACAGCCCAGGAGTTTGTAAAAATGCAACTTCATCAAACAAAAAGGACTTACCAGAAAAGGAATGGAACAGAAAGGAAAATACCTTCCAGCTCTAACTTCTGATGTTCCTGTGCTTCGTAAGCCATGTGCAGCTTTTGTTACCCTGTTTCCAGCTGTATGTGGTGGAGCTGGAAGAGCTGAAGAGAAGGTGACAGCCTGAGCAGACGAATCGAGAAGTTTCTGTACAGGCAGAGACTGAATGCACCAAATCTCTTCACCCCGGGGAAAAAGGAGTCTCACAGTGTGCATAACAGTGTGAGCAGCAAAGATGTAAAGGGATGTGCAAAACTATAAATGATCTAGAGGGTGCAGAAAGGAGTTGATCATCTCCTGCTACCACAGAATAAGAAGCAGAGGCACTGCAAAATTGCTAGGCAGCAGGAAAATACTTTTTCTTCATAATGTAAAATAAATTGAGATTTTCATTGATACAAGGTAGTTTGGATACCACCACATGTTTAAAAAGGTTTAAGAAAGGATTAGACAAATTCAAGACAGAAAGATGCAACCAAGTTTGTTAAATGAAGTAGTCTGGATATAACTTCCAATTCAGGAAAACACAAAGTCTTCAACTGACAGAAACTAGAAGTTTATGTTAGGGAAATATCATCTTGCAGCTTTGGGCTAAATGCGGACGGATCAGTAAAAAGATAATTTTTCATCTTTCTTCAGTTCTCTGGATATTTTACATGCTTTATCTTGTGAGAATGTACTACTGAGACTCAAGCTTGGAAAATTGTTTTATTATTATTTTCATACTTCTGTTTTTCTGAGGGAAAGAGGTTCCCATTACACCGTGCTTCAGCATGTGCTCTGCTGGTAAACTTCAAGGAACACAAACTTGTTTTCCCTCTCCCCATCTTTCTGGCTTCTCAGACAACTGTTTTGGATTTTTTGTCTATCATGTCACAGTCCCTTGGTCTCTCTTATGTTGAGCTGAGGATACTTGGAAGAGGACTTGAGGCAGGAACAAGCATATCCTCAGGCAAGAGCTAAAAAGCAGTTAAACTGGCTCAAGTAGCAAACACGAACAGAGTACAACTCTAGAGTTGGTCGTCTGTAAGGGAAAATTTACTTGTTCAAGTACAAGGTGCCTTTGGCCTAAGGCAAAGGAGAAATGAGAAATGAGACATATCCTTATGGGGTGACCTGGCTTTTTTTTTGTGGTTTTCACAGGCAAAGACAGACTAAAAACATCTTAACCTGTAGATTTTTTGTCTGCAGGAAGTCCTTGGCTATATCGAGTTTCTATTTAAGTAGTGAAGAAGTTATCATCTTTTTTACAGTTGAAAAGATAATGAGGAGGCAAATTAGGTGTAAACCAACAAGATGGGAATGTCTGAGTCAGAAGATGGTCTAAAACAAGACAGAAGTAGACTGCCTTCACTGCACTGATGAGTTACTTGATGTCCAGATAGGATATTACCTCTTTTAGTACTGAAGAAGATTTAAGAGAAGAGTAGAAGTAAATAATAATACATATTATTTTGTACATATAGTATAAAATGTTTATAACTCTGTCTGCTACCACCCACTGCTGGTTTTTTTAGCATCTCTGAGAAAGAGCAAATATAAAGTAACACATAAATAATACAAAATAATTATTTGATAACACTAAAGCTATTTTAAAACAAACATTTTAAAACCTTTCTTAAAACTGAATCAAATGAAGATACCAAACAGGGAGCCTAAAGATTGCTTGTGCATATTTTTCTTTTTCTTGTCTGCAAGTAACATATGTAAGAAAAATCAGATCTCTTCTGATTTGAGCAATATGGTTACAAAGTTTAACAACATTTAAAAAATAATTGTCAGAGCATGATTTAAAGAATTTTAGCCATGCCTAATGGTGTGATAGAAAGAGTAACCTGGGTTAGCTTTGCTAAAGGCTTTCATTATCCTCTGGGTTATATTGACAAAGATGACTCATATATCTTACTAAAAATTATTTGAAATGGAAGGTGGGTGTTTAGTTTTCTTCCTGTCCTACAGAGATTATTGTAGAGGATGACACAGTAGCTGTCATGTGAGAGAACTAAATAGTAGGGGCAGGTAGAATGGCTTAACTTAGCCCATCATCTCAACTGAAGTGATTAAACAGTTTAGAATTAGGGATGTTTGGGTTCTTTTTTTTTTTCATTTTCCCATTATATATTTTAATACCCTGGAGCCCTTATTCAGATTTGTGCTTCAGTGCTTAATGATGTAAAGAGAGAGGGTTCCTGCTCTCTGTCATTCCCATAGCTCACTGGCTAAACATGGCCATCTGCTGAATTTGGGGGCTGCAGGCTGGCAGACTTGCCAGTGCATATAAGAAGTAGAAGTCTTATTTTTGGGACCACACAAATCAGGACAGCTGCAGCTACTGACACCTCGAAACATGACACTGTGAATATTAAATATTGCCAAAGGGATGACAGGAAAACTACTGGCATCTTTTTAAAAAGCTATTGTTTGGTCCCGAAGGGTTAAAAGGGAAAAGTGGTATGCATAAAGGCTTTGGATAACCCAAAACAGGTTGCATCTGGGCTTGTCTGTGCCACATTTTCTACTAAGCAAAAGTTTTATAGATCCATTCAGAGCTGTTATCACTGATAATGATGATGACCTTGTTTCTGTCTAGCAATGGAAGGTCCTTTGATGTTTCTCCTTCTCATTGATGAGAAGCGAAGTAAGGTTCTGAGTCAGGAATTTCCCCTGGTGAGGTGGAACTGTGTAACAGACAATTAGATCCTAGAAGATCCCAAAAGGACACACATGAATTACATCTAAATTTTCCAGCCAAGACATTTTTCCTACTTGAAATAAGACCTGAACCTGACTGGTAAATTCACACTACAATTCTTGTTTATTTTTCTGTGTAAGAGAACTCCAAACATGGGTTATCCAACCTTCTAGAGAAAGTATTCAGTGGAAACAGCAGATGTCCATGTAACATTCCACCTAACACTTTTCTAAAATTATTTAAACTATCAAACAAGAGAAAACCATAGTTCAGATATGTTGGTGGTGTGATGTTAGAAATATATAGTAGATTTGTTTCACTTGTAATTTCATCAGGATAAGGGAAAAGTTACAAGTAGTCTTTGGTATTTAATTATTATTATTATAGTGTATTATTATCATTATTATTATTATTATTATTATTAATATTATTATTATTATTATTATTATTATTATTATTATTATTGAGGTTTCAAAAATATACCTTATAAGATAGGGAAATAGCCAATCTCTTGCCCAGATATCTTCACGTAGGACACAAAAACTAGGACTCACAGATGACATTGATATGAGAAGGATATATCCAGATGACTGTGACATTTTTAAACATCTTTGCTTTCTACCCTTTCTTGCAGATCAGCTAGGCAGCATCATCTTTTAGAGGAAATCGCAATAATAAGGAAAGTGTCTGGGAGTAGAAGTAGGATGTTGTGAAGATACAGTGGAAGGAATTTGTGAGAAAATATAGTGAGGGCAAAGAGGCTCCTTTCAGCGCAGAGTAGGGAGGATGGGGAGCAGTCACAAAGGGTCAAAGGTCTGCAATAGCAACAAGCACTGACGAAATTTGTTTTGCTGTATTGTGATTCAGAGTCATCTTTCAGCAGTAAAGTTCTGTAAGGTAGGAGGATGGTGGTTCTCTAAATCTGGAAGATTGTTCAGTGAAAATCATTGCTGGTGAATTTTCCCTATTATCCTGAACGCAGTTCATAGTTTTACTGACAGCATAAGACGTAGTATCAGCATGACCCCTGGGGTCTACTGAATAGTAACAAGTAAAAGTTGAGACAATATGGAACCACTTTGCATAAAAACAAATATAAGAGTAATTGTAATTTTTAAATCCTGGATTCAAAATGTAGGTGTAAAGTCAGAGAAGCACATATTTACAGAATTCATAGTTTGATGAGTTTTAAATGAATAATGTATTGACCCTATATATGTTCTTGTGCATTTAAGTAACAACTACAATTTCCTTTGATGCCCAGACCTGTTATAGAGACACCTTTCATTTTGCTTTGTTGTGTTTGGGTGGTATTACCCACTAAGCTGTTTTTCAGTAACAGTGAATATGTTTATCTTTCAGGGATATATCAATACATATTTAGATTCCTGTTCACTGCTAAGAATATTGAAATGTACAAATCAATAGATCAGTCATGGTTGTTTAAAGAGGCTTCTGTTTTGTTGTACATCTGCCTTTACATCCTCAAATGGCATGCCATCAAGGGTCCTCACTGTTAGAAGGTGCTTAGCCCAACATATGAAAATCAGTACCTTTCGTAGTATCTTTTAATTATTTTTTTTTATCTTTTTGGGCACATGGAATTATTCTGAAGAGCAATTTTGAAGACTAGGTTGAAAGACTATCCTTTGGATATTAAAGCAATTAAAAGCCAAGAATATATTTGCTTTAGTTTGCTTTAGCAAGTTTTCTGTTTACCAGTGGAACTGTCTGAATATAGAAAGTTTCCATTTATGCTCATGACTGCTAAAAGTATATATGGCTCTATAGAGCAATGTTGGGTATCAATATTGTATGCCTTTTCACTTTCTGTTAGAGAATGGATAATTTAGGGTCTAACTTGAAAGAGCACTTGGCTCCAATGATTCTGGTAATTGAAATGTATGGGAATTCTGCTTAAATACAAATCTAATCAGGATATCACTGATAGCCCAAGTGAAATTCAGAGAGCTTTAATACTTTGATCTATGAAGGTCTTTTCTAATAGGAAGGGGAATTAGTCTTGGTGGCTAAACAAACCACGTTTACTTTCTTTTATTTTCCTTTACCTCAGACGTGTTTATGTTTGAAGATCACTCCAATTTTATTCGTTTTTTGTTTTCTCTCTTTGTGTTCACTTCAAATGCCCTCTTTTCCAATTCTTCTGTGTGATTCCTCAGATCTCTTCTTTTCCACAGCAGTGACCTGATACTGCTGTCTTACTCCTGTCTTGCAAAAAAACCCTCAGCAGCAACAGTATTTTAGAATAATAGAAGGCAGTTTCTTTATTGTAATTTAAAAATTGAGCCAATTCTGACTGTGCATGAAGTGCAGCCTCAGCAGCTCTTGGTCTGGCCTCTTTGATAGATAATTATCTGAACAATTCCTTTTTTGAGGGAGAGTACCAGGATGCCAGATCCACAGCTAGCCAAAATTGATGACCTCCAAATTCACAATATTCAGAAGGAAATCAGGCAAGTTTTCTTGACAGTCTGTTCTTTGGTTTTCATTGCCTCCATGTGACTAGTATGTCCCTGCATCATATTTCAGAAGCCTTTTCTCATCATTGTGTTTCTTTTGTCACAGGGCCCATCACACCACACTTCACTAAAATACCCGACATTTGTTAATGACATCTCTGACTTGATGCCTCTATCACTTTTGTAACAAAAATGCTTTGCACTTCTGCTAATAATTCCTATTTATGGCAAGAGAAGGACAATTCAATGACTGTGGTACTTTCCATTATTCAGAATGACATAAAATTAGTTTTTTTCAGTTTGATTTGCTCTCTTTGACCCAAATTTACAAAGCCTCAAGTTTACCTAAGTCCCTGTGTTTGCTACTTACTCTTGAGCGACAACTTCTTATCAACCCAGACCTTCTGACAGATATTCAATAAAAGGGGAGAAACTACAAACAAGAGTGCATATTTCCTTGCCTTCTCTGCTGGGGTGCATATATATGAACAACCCTCTGCTATGTTAGACATAATCACTTTGGTTCAGAGTGAGATAATAATAGGGGTGTAAGTGGAAATTTGGTACTTTGATTCTCATCTTATAGTTATGTGTGTGTGTGTATATTAATTAATAGTAATAATAATACTATTAATAATTGTAATAGTACAAATAATAAGTAGTAGTAGTAGTAGTAGTAATAGTAGTAGTAGTAGTAGTAATGTTCCTCCTTCCTCCCTTCTCTTCTGCCTGCTGTACTGATAGAGTTTGGGGAGTTTTTCAGTGAACCAAACCAGAGAATCTGGCCCTAATGTGGAAATGTCAGTTTTATTTACAGGGCTTCGGATCTTTCGTGTACCTATGCCACATAAGTTTGGTGGCATCAGGTTAAATTCCTGCCAGATAGATCCATTCTAAGTGAGAAGATAAGAGAATTGTAACTCTCATACACAATTTGAATTTTGCAGCTTCTAGCTTTAATTTTTTTTTTTAACTTTACACCAAGATTTCTGAGCTCCTCAGCCAGCTAAGGCAGATGAATATTGATGAAGTGTACTAATGGAGATAAGTAATTTTAACCTAGATATTTTTTTTTCCTTTTTACCACTTGTGCCTCACAGATATGTTGTATTACTGTCATTCCAACAGACTTCTAGTTCAGTTTACCTGAGCTGTTGTGGACAAGGGGTTTTTTTGTGTAAGGTTTATGGCATAGTTTGACTAGTGCTGTTTTAATGTCTGTGTCAATAGGGTCTTAATCACACTGAAATCTCTGGATCTCTTAGATTTACCAGGAGTTCTCCAAGGAAATCAGAATTGCAAAGGCTGGAGAAAGCCCTGGAGGCTTTCCAACTTAATTAGGAGTGAACTCCTTCCCTGTAAATGAAGTGGTTCTTTAAAATGACTTAGAGTCTCCATTGGCATCTTCTGACAGTGCTATGATGAAGTACAAAATATTATTAGAATGATGTTCCCCTCTTGTGACACTCTCTTTCTCTCATATATCTTATAGAAATAGCCATATTTTGTGATTACCCAGAGCATTATTTTCCTTGTACTGAGACAGAGTCAAAAAAAAAAAAAAAGGTTAAATAGTTTTAAAAGCACTGCAAAATATTAGATCTCTGTAGCATTGCAGTCTGGACTTTTCTATTTTTAAATACAACATTGTGAATGTGAAACAATCATTGATGGAAAAGTTCTTTAATTAATGGATGAGATAAAATAATTTATAATAGACTTAATCCTTAAAGAGTCACTGTCTTGCTATACTACATATTTAAATGATGGTGCTGTAAAAAATAAATTGCACATCCTAATATTTATTGCTTTATTAAACACTTTTTTCTGCAAAGAAGGTGTGATTTTCCACATTGGTCAGGTATTCTTATATGCCACAAAACTGTGAAAAAACTGTTTTCCTTCAAGTTAACTGAGTAACACCAAATTTGAAATAATGACAGATAAGCTTGAGACAAGCATATGCACGACACAAGCAGTTCACATTCTTCAAAATTTGCCCTAAACTCCTTCATTTATAGATGATTTCTCTATCTTTCTTCCTCCTGTGTCATTTAACAAGCAAAATATTGCCTAACATTCTATTTATATATCATAAATCACACACAGTATCACTGAAACACAGTTTTTCTGTTTAATTCAAAATGAGCCAGAGTCTACTTATGGCTCACTAGAGTAAACATGGAATAGCTGTATGAAGGTGGCTGAAGTAGCCAGGATTTACACTGATGTTGGGGCTCTTGCTTCTGATAAGTTGCTTTCTGTTTGGGAAATCATTAAAGTGTGAAAGGTTTTGTATGTTAATCAATTCATCACAGTAAAGTTTGGTAAATATTTTAAGTAGGGCTTCTTCTCTGGGGAAGAAAAAGACCAAAGAAAATTTATCTGAAGAAACTTGTAATGCAGCTGATGGATATATGAAAAAGCAGGGTCTAACTGTTTCTATTTTCCTGTAGTTAATCCAGGTATTTGACTGGTATGATTGACAGAAATCACTTCTGAAGATTTTTTTTTAATATGTTTTTTCGTCTATTTCAACAATAGCAGAGAAGCTCAAGAAAAGGGAGAACATGGAAGTTGCTGATATTGAGTGATGTTCACTGAAGCCACCAGTCATTTTGCAGGGTAGATTGTTATCCCGTTTTGAAATGAATTCCTGTTAAAATAAAGCCCTTTCTGAATATTCTAGGTTTTCTTTCACAGTGCCAGTATAGATATTTTCATTTGCTGCATAACTCGGTGATGCACACCTGCAAAAATCAAGAAGGCCTCCATCCAAAATTTGGCCCCAGTGTGCCAGTGTGAATGTTCTGTGGTCGAGCTAGTAATCTGCTAATGAGTTTTTTCTAATTATTGGTTCTTTTCTTGAATCAAGGCTGTTTGAAAACTAATATTAAACAGAGGTTTAAGTGCAAAATATAAAGGAATCTTCTGGTCAGCTTCTGAAAGAACATGAAATTGTACACGAAGCTCATCTGCTCTTTCAATGCAGTTGCGCAGAGAAGGAGAAATTACTTGCTTATTTCAGGAAGGGGTGTTTTAATAAAAAAAGAAGAATGAAACCGGGTGAGTTTAGCCATTATTGCTTTGATTGCTGCTGGCTCATTAGCATTGGCCACGCTCCTTCAGATTAGCAGTAATTAAACTGTGAAATCAGACCGATTGCCTTAAGCTGAGACACCATACCAGGCTGTCAAGAGAAATCACAGGGGATAAATCAAGGGCCCTGTGCATCTCGGATCACCCTTGGCATGGGTGAGAGTGTGAGAAGCGGAATAATGAGGACATTCAGTTTTTTGTATCTGGTGAACTCTCGGCAGACAAGCTTTGGAAGCGTTGTCATGACGATGACAACAGCAAGGATAAACTCTTACTCCCACTAGCTGTGGTTAATGAAGATGATAATGAAAAATTATGCCAACATTACTGCAATTTTTTTATTCCGACTGGCACTTGTAACCTTACGCCTAATGACACAACACAATAGTGACAGTAATTGTGCGTTGATAAATGGGGTAAAGATGCCGAAAAAATGTCTGACTCAAAGATATACAAGTTTAGTTAGCTGAGTAATTTCTTCCAATAAGCATTTTCTTTGTTCTTTGAACTCTCACTAGGTGGTTTTGGACTGTGCATGCCAAAAAAACATCTCTAATCACTTTTTATTGTTTACTAAAGAATAGGCCCAGCAATTAAGGCAAAGAGCGCCTGTGTTTTATTTCTTCTAAGCAGAACAAACGCGATCAAGATAAATAACAGTAATAAAACAACAATACTTTTTTACAAATTCTGAATGGGTTTACAAATTCAGTGTTTGTTTAACTGCTGGTTTCTGGGACATCCAGTTTGTCCCACTCCAAGTGTAAAGCTTTGGTGGATAAATCTCCAATTACATTATGTAATGGCTGTCTCAACCCCCCTCATTGCCCCTGCCTAAATGCCACCATTTATTCAGATTGTGTTAGCACTCATGTAAGCGTCCTTTTCAACCAGACCTCCTAAATCCTGGCACAGGGAGAAGGATTTATAAATAGATAGAAAAACAGATAGATAGATAGATAGATAGATAGAAAGTGAGGGTGTGGTTTAACAATATGGTTAAATCACTGTAAAAACTTTCTTCAGATCTACCCCAGCTATCTGTGTCCGTTTTCTTTCTTGCAGTAAGCCCGTGATCCATCGCGTTGAAACAGTTCAGGGTGCTAAATGGACAAAAATTTTCTGACTTTATATTCTTTACAGTTTCTTACCAGTTCAGCTCCTTGATCCAGATGAGGGCCAGTGATGGGGCAAGAAAAGCAGCAACAATATGTAGGCAAAAATGGCAGTGACACCCAGCCTAACCAAGGACCTTCAAGTCCCGCCTTGAAGGCTCGAGGCGTGTGCATGACTTTGGGAAGGGATCTGCACTTGAAACTCTGACTGCCTTCCAGTTAAGCAGTTTGAGACTATAATCCTGAAGAGGCTTACGGAAGCTGTTCAAAAAGTGCTCACAGTGAGAACAGTGGCAGCCACCAGAGCTTTTGCAAACACATCTCACAGTGATTCCCACAGGGCCACGCGGCACATCAGGAATCCCTCCTGCTCCCAAGGCCACCCGCTTCTCACTGCTGAAAGGTTGATGTTGTTTCAACAAGCAAGCCTGATACGGACAATACAGAGCAGGAAACTCTTTCAATTTATGTAGTGGATTCCAACTCTGATGCTATCCAGCATCCACACACCCACTTTAGAAGCCACAGCACTTGGCTTTAAAGAATAGCCTGATTGAATGTGTGAGTATGCTACAGCACAATAACCTCTCTGGGATTAGACAAATAAATGCAAATGAATCATTTAATGCAAACAAATCACTTAAAGGAGTAAGTGTTGTTTTATTTACTCCAAAACTACTTAAAAGAATAGCTCTTTTGATAGCTTTAGTAAAGTGTTTGGGGGTTTTTCTATGTAAGGTTCTACTGTTGCTCACCAATGGCCTCATTCCATCACAGCTT